CGGTACGGTGGCGTAATTTTAGAAGTTGTCCTCGGCTTGTTTGCCTGGTCTAAACTCTAAATCTATTTTTGAATGTCGCCCATGCGGCGACGCATTTAGTCAGGGATAATATAGGACCTGCTGGTTAGCCGGTGATAGCAAAAAGTACCGAAATAAAAAATATTGTTTTGGCACTTTTGTTGTTAAGTTTCCTTCATAGTTGTCTGCTTTTGTCATAGAACAATGTAGGCTTGCATAAAAAAAAAGTTAACCGCCAGCTTATCTAGGTTTCTTTATTTTCTTCATGTTGATCATTATTAATTCAATTTTGCTGGAGTGTGCGACAGTGAGTCTAGAAGCTGTTTTTTTTTTACAAATTGACATTTCAGCCTAAGGCTGTAAGGTGATTTGCTTCTGATTGTTTCTTGGTGGACGTTGGTAGAAGAAAGTATGATAACTTTGATTATTGAATTAAACCGCACTTTGTCAAGCCTTCATTCAACCCAACCCTTAATAATTCATTGAATCCATTCATTAGTATCGTCAGCTTATTTTTATATAGTGAATGGCGTGGGAAACATGACATGATGACAGTTGCCTTATGGAAGACGTGGCTGAAGCCGAAGGTGGAATTGTAGCGTCAATGCCAATAACTTAACCATTGCACTTAAGTCGCCAGCCTTCAATAGAAACGATCAATTTTATTAACAAACCTGAGCATATGTTTAGCGCAATTGAAGCAACATCGTAGTTATCATGTGGTTATTGAAGTCTATAAATCAAAGTGCTGACTACCGGTAGTACTTTTTTAGTATTATACAGTATTTAGCGGCGAGGTAAGTGCACTTAGTGAAGCTTGACCTGCCCAGTGGCGACCCAAGTATCATTGATGATAGGAATGATAGTATCAGACAATCAGAGTTCATATCTTCAAGATCAATGCAGCCTGGTAAGTTGGTAATGTAGTGAGTACTATGACTATGAGTACCTACTTGAGTAGAGTGTAGAAAGTAGACTAGCAAAGTATCATGGATAGTCCAGCATATTCATATACTGTACTCCAAAGTCCAAAGCTTGTTTGAAGTTCAACTGAACGGTCTGAACCTAGTTAGCCTATTCTCCTCAGCTCTACATAGCCTAACTGCCACTGAGCTTAATTGCCAATAGTTCAATAAAGGCTTTGCCTAACATAAACAAAATTTGCAACCACTTCTGATATTTCCAACTTTGAGTACTACCGGTACCTGCCCAGCACTGCCCTCAAGCCTCATGATTGGAATTTTCCTACTTATTACCTACTATTATTTGCAGCTCCAAGGTGAAATTTTTAATAAATTGAAAATCTCGCAGGCCATGGCTCAATCATGAACTTTTGTTTCCAATTATATAGAAGTTTTTTTGTCTAGCAGGAATCTCTGGGCACCAATAATAGGGTTAAAGCTCTAGTTGTGGCTCCTAAGGATCAAGGAAAAGTATAAATATTGTCTGGAGCCTTGACCCCAACTGGTAAATAACTGTATTTAAGATTCACAATAGGTAAATTCTTTGATATAATTTATGGACAGAGAATTGACTGGAAAATCTATGCACTGACCTCTCAGTGACTTGGATGAAGATGACAGGACAGCAGGACTTATTTTTTTTAAGCTGCAGAGGCGATTTGTTAAAAATCTTTGCTAATTCTCTATCAGTTAGCTTGATCAACTACTGAACTTTTCTGTTACGTGAACACAATGTCAAGTGTTGACATATGAAAATGTAAAATTTTCTACCAATATTTTTATGATTGATATATGCGATATATAGGTGCCATACAATAGACATACTTGAAGGCCACTATGCAGAGTTTGGCAATTGTGTTGCTGAGAGCAGGATTTTAGGCCCCAAGTCAAGTGGCAAAGCAGAGAGTTTTTAACACGTTTTTCTTAGCTTAGTTTTGCGTTTGTTTGTTTGTTTGTTTGTTTGTTGTTAACATTGACAACAAAAATTAGCCCACTTCTGATGGTTCTAGAGATCTGAAATTCGGCATGCTATTTTCGCCTAACATTTTCAGATACAATCATAAAAACTAGTAATTAGAGACCGAAATTAGTTTAATTGAGTAAAGTATATATATAGTATATATATAGTATGACGTGCGGGCGCTCACGTTATAGACGAGCAGGCGCTAACGCTGCGTATCATCGATACATACGTCAAGTCATACTTAATCAAGTCTTAATCGTTTTTCTTGTGGACTAAAAAGTAGAAAATAAAATACTTAAAAAAACTTAAAAAAAAACACGTTTTTCTTGTGGACTAAAAAGTAGAAAATAAATTATGGTTCGCCCCAAAAAAACGTGGGTCGGGCTTTACGTTTACCATCAAATTTCCAAAATTCGTGTGTTATGTGCTTTTCGCTTTAATCATAAATCTGCCCAACACACGATTTTTTGGGGCGAACCATAATTTATTTTCTACTTTTTAGTCCACAAGAAAAACGTGTTTTTTTAAAGTTTTTTTAAGTATTTTATTTTCTACTTTTTAGTCCACAAGAAAAACGTGTTTTTTTAAAAAGTTTTTTTAAGTATTTTATTAGACTTGTCCTCAAGTTTATTTTTGACTCCTATAAGTAGACCAGTAAAGTATCCTGGATACCAGCATTATCATACACAAGAAATTGGTTTAAATCTTGAGTAGATGAGGAAATTAAAAATGAACTGATTCTAAAGAATCTCTGGTTTTCCACTATGCCAACTTACCTAGAAAAGAGGTACCTACTGATTGAATCACAAACTTGATTAGCCAAACCCACTAATCACAGACAAGAAATTGGCTGCTGTTTGTACTTGACTGTTTTTAGTTTTAGATGGTAGAATAAGCTGTTTAAACCAGGGTTAGTGATTTTTTTTAAATCAAAAATCAAAGAATTTTTAATTTTTCATGATTTTTTTTTATTTTTTTAGCTTTTTTGTCTCTGAGAAAAGTTATTTTTTATTTTGCAATTAGCCTACTAGCAATAACACTATTTTCTTAAAAATAGTAGTCATTCATAAATAAAAATAATATAGGGCTATGAATCATATAAGAAAATGAAATAAAATCAGTATTTATAGTTGAATACTTGAAATGCCTAGCACCATATCGATCCCTGTGTAAGGCTAGAAGCTATTTCAAACTATTGTCAGTCTTGAAAAGCTCCGGTCAAATGACATTTTAGATCTTCTGTGAACAAGTCACGAAAAGCTAAAGAATCGGTGACAGGCTACAACAGGCCTACTCTCTAGCGCCAAAATCCTCTTTCCTTTATTAATAAAATACAAATTACAAGACAATTAAAACAGATTAGTATTACACTTCTTCTTGAAGCAATACCAACTAATAATATTAGCAATTAGTCACCTTGTCTTAAAGGTTGAAAAAATCAAACTAAGAATCTCCCATGCACCAAAGCCAAAAGCTGAAATAAAACTGACAAAATCAAAAATTCTGTATTTTTTTTCAAAAGTGACAAATAATGAGAAGAACATTACTACATTAGTACTATTTTTTTTCATTACCATTGAAAAATGAAAACCTCAAACTACAAGAAATGATCACTATCTAGAATCCAGCTACCTAATTAGGTTGCTACTTAAAATATTAATAGGGATCATCTCTATCTGCCTGCCTATTAAGCCTGTTTGAAAATGAGAACTGTTTTTGCTGCTTGTGCAGTTCCTAATCAATTTCTTATGCTAGATCGCACAAGTTCAAAAGAAGAGAAAATTCTATTCACTCTAGCAGAAGAGGCAATGCATTTAATTATTTTATATAGTTTAATAATTGTACTGTAATTGTTATGTTTCTAGTCATTAATTCACATATTTAAAGATTGAAATTAAATATTTTAATTAGAATACTCAATTAGGGTGGAAAATCTCTAAATTCCTGAAAGGCCGATACAATCTCAACCAACCCTTCTTATATAAGCTAGCTAACACATGTAAATTGTGCAATGTAATGTAATTAATTATTAATGTACAACAAATAGTTAAAGACTACTTACAGCCTTATAAGAATTAGTTAAGCTGCTAGCTACAGTATGTACAATGTATTGCAACACTTGATGCCTCTGTACCAAAAACATACAATTTATTGGAACGTAATACACACTAAAGGCAACAAGTTTATATTCCAATTTGTCATAACACATTTATACTAAATCGTGAATAACAATAACTCTCTATATATTTAAACTTATAAAAAAATTAAAATAAAATCACAATTTTCTGTAAAAAATTGAATGATTTAATCACATGATTTAATCAGTTTGATTTAATCATTGCCAACCTTGACTGCAAGCCAAGAAAAGAACTTTCACCACAACATTTTTCTTTGATTTAATTATATAAATCTAGATCTGCTCTATCAAACACTTCTATTTAGGAACTATAAAATAAATTTAGTATTTTTGAACATTGTAAATTTGTGTCTTGATTGATACTGTAAAAGAGTTAGACCATTGTGATATTTAAGAAAAGAAAACCCTAAACTCTAAAAGTTCCTTCATTACAAAAATTGTGTTGATGTCTCTTGAAGTATTATGAGATAACCTATAAATGCAATATAGGAACTGCAATATGCATTTACTATGTGACTATTTCTATCACAAAAAGTAATCACTAAAAATGGTCCAAGTCACTGTTTATGGTATTTTTGACATGATATTTGTATAAAAAATCTTATGCACTTTTTCAAATGGAAGGATTTGGAAATGCTCAAAAGTCAGTCGTTGCTTGTTACCTATAGCAAAATAAATTTTTATTTTTAAACATTTGCAGTTTTTTCATATGTTTTCATGCATAAAACATTCAAGATTTAAAATATCAAAATAAGAATAAATATCTAGCACAATCTTATTAAAAACCTTGTGTTTCAAACTGGAATAATGTAACTCCAAAGTCTTCAACCACAATTGATTAAATCAGTCTTTGTAAAGTGAATTTCTTGTTATATATTAGAAATATAAATACCTGGATTTTTCAAATGACAAATTTTTCATAATAATCTTTTCTTCTTCAGATAACAAACAAAAGCTAAGAACTAGAAAATATCATGACTTTTCTCAGGATGACTCAGGCAAAGCCATCAAAGCTTGCCATGTTAGCATGTCACTCTGGCATGCCTGTAGTGACTGTAGAACATCTGGTGCAACCTTGGCTTAAAAGATTAAAAACATATTATATATTATTCATTATACATTTAATAAATTATATTATATGATTGGATGCTTATCAAAATTATAGTTCACCAAACTGACAAAGAGTTGCTACTTTGGGACAAGAAAGAAGTGTTGTTTTGTGAAGGACTATTTGATTCCAGGTAATAGTATAGTCCTTGTATATTGTATTAATAGCCCTTGTCTATATAAAGCACAATGCATACAACATACAACTTTTACATACATACAACATACAACTTTTACAAATATATAAGAGAAATTACTGACGTGCTATATACTTATGAGTGTATAATGTTTGAATTGGCAGGATTGGAGTTAGACTGTAAGCCTGGTAGCTGGTTTTATTATGAAGAAAGTATCTTATAATGTGACTGCTTCTAGTTAATTGACTTTGATCTTGTAGTTTAGCTTCATTTTGAGAGATTATTGCACTCGTAAAATTGTTCATATGTATCTTAATGTTGACAAATTTCTATAAAAAATCCTATAACTTATAGACTTTTATAATTGATAATATTAATAACCTATTTTTGCATGATTAAGACTGAGAATAATTTTTTCTACATGACCATAAATCATTTAATTGGGTAACAATAATAGGTAATTTTCAAATGCAAAATTGAATAACTCATATCGCCGTGTGTTGAAAGTAGGATATATAATGGTTATAAATTTATGAACCCAAGTTCCTGAAATTGAAATAGGAATTAACAGTTTGAAAATCAAACTCTAATAACTGTACACCCCTTAAGACATTCAAATTCCTCGGGTAACAGAGGCCTTGGAGGTCATCTTGGGCACTGCACATGGCCATGCTGATGTACCACCTTTGACGCACATCGTGTGCCATCCACCAGTAACACCAAGAAATGCACTGTGCTACAGAGGTTCCATAGTCCCCAAACACAGGTTGGTATTGAAGAGTTACTGGAAATTCGTTTGCATGGCCTATTCTTCTCAGTATTTTTCTCCTTACTATAAATCTTTCTAAGTATGAAAGTATTTAAAGTATTTTTAGACTCTTGTCTCTCAGCCATTTAGGCTCCTAAGTTAATACATATGCATTAGTTGTACACGAGCACAATCCTATCTGCAAACAAAGTATTAATTAAATTTATTCTGTGCAGGTTGCTGTCTTGGGCTCCTTGACCGCGTGGGAGTTGAAGGAAGTAGGTAACCTCCTGCCACTACATCGCTGCTGGCTTTCATTCTACTCTGAAGAAGCTCCTTAGTATCCTTACTGCTGTGTTGTGTGGTCTCTGTGTGCTGCTGTGCTGTGTAGTCTCTGTGGTGCTGCCGTGCTGTGTAGTCTCTGTGTGCTGCTGTGCTGTGTAGTCTCTGTGTGCTGCTGTGCTGTGTAGTCTCTGT